GTGCGTTTTTCTGTGTTTGTGTACAGGTAGAGGCCTTGCGACGAGCTGATCACTCGCCCAAGGAGTCCTACCGTATGTGTAAGATCTAGTAAACCGAAGTGAAACGGAGAGTTTCATGGAGGTAGGCCTAGGCCCAAATTGGGGCTGTAGCGCCACAGAGAAAAAAAGTCATCACTGCCGACCACAGTGGCCGCACGGTCTAAAGCATGAACTGTCTTCGCTTTCTCGAACGCTAGGATCATGGGTTCGAATCCCGCTCGAGGCATGGATGTCTTTGTGCGTTTATTCTGTTTGTGTTGTTCTGTGTGTAGGTAGCGGCCTTGGGACTGGCTGATCCCCCGTCCAAGGGCCCTTACTAACTGTGTATATGATTAAGAAACTGGAAAAAAGTGTAGGGCCAACAGAGGGCTGTAGAGCCAAGACAGATTGACCTAATGATGACATTCTCTAGGAAGTTACTGAAGCTCACTATTCATGCATAAGCATATGGATATTTCTCATTCCCCGGAGTATAAAGTCTGCAGCTGAAAAGGCTCCTTTGCCTAAAAGGGGGAGAAGTCAAGGCCCAAGAAGAAGGTGTAAGTTTTGTGGGTATATGGCGGGAGGTGTGGAAATAAGTTCAGCAGTAATGGAGTAATGCAGTAGCAACTCGCCACCTCCTAATTCAGCTAGTAACCTGTTCATCCGTAGCCTTCACGAGGCAGCAGCACGCGGCCACAGGAAAATCGATCGTACGAGTAGAGAGACGGTCGGGAAGGGTTTATATTTATATAACATTCACCTCGAATTTATTTGTGTTCCGTACACTTTCAACTGGATGAAAATGATGGTTGGCTGTCGTTTCTTTTCCTAAAGTACTTTTTCAAAAAGCCGGCTTCGTCGATGTATGCGTAGCATTCTGTCGTTGCTTCGCACCGTTCAGGCAAATCCGCTTACTGTAAACACTATAACGTGAATATGACTGTCGTAATAAGGGAATATGAGTAGGATTGGCGTAATAAATAAGCAAATTCACAATTCAAAATCAGGGAGAAGAACGCCCGGTATCGTAACGTAAAGTTTTGCTTGTGCTTAATTCATTAAGCACCACGCCATGAAGATGTCATAGGGGAGTGGAGGTATAGCTCACAATGAAAAATTAAGTGTCCATTTGGGAAGTTAAGATTACTCATTTTTATTTTTTATGCATCCTCTTGTGTATAAGTGAAATTAAATTTTAGTGCCGTCACACAACAACGATTTGATTATTGTGTAAAAAAAACTATAGATATTAAGTAAAACCAATAAGTCAATCAGTTTATTATATTAATCACATTATGAGTTTCTGTCTTTTTTTGACCATCACCACGTTTGTAAGATTTAAAATAACAAATATAAAACGTTTATGTGGAATTATGCGATGAAAATTGATCAATTTTTCAGAATTATAAAATTGAATGCTGTTTACGTGTGAGGGGTTGAATATATGAAAACATAGTTAAAATGATAGAGAATTATTCAAATTTTGTAAAATGTATGTACATATATATATATTACTGACTAACGACGCGGGTTAGGATCGGCGAGTCGATTTATTGGATCTTCACTAGTCGTAAGTACAAGTAATTACAACACCCTCAAGATTACTGTAATTATAACACACAAAATAAAGCCTTCTATATCTGCTTTAAGCAGTCGTTACTATGTAGCAGATATCAACAATGGTTATTCCTCTGCAAAGGGTGCCCTATCCGTTTCTTTGCATCCGATTTTAACACGGGAACTATAACTGTCATACTCCAGGTATCACTGCACTACAGCACTCAAAGTCAAATCACACGCTACGTCATCACTGGCCGACTTTTAATTCTTCTACTTCGAAATTCCCGTGGCTGTCTCCTACCGAGAACTGAACTTGTAGCGCCCATTGTCTTCAAGATAACTCCTCTGCACGGACCCCAACAGAAAACACCTTCTTCCATTGTTAAAGATGCGTGTTTACAGCTCCGTTGCCTACCAGTAGACGTCCTATTTTTACAAGCGTTTGCTTCTGCGGAAACGTGTTTACCAACCTTTTGCCTAGCAATTAGTGTACATGTAACAATATATATGGTGGTCGTAGTGTGCTATATTGTGTGTGTGTGCGCGTGCGCGCTTTTCCGTAAGGGGGGACTATGTGATTGTAGTTTTTAGTTTAAATTATATGTACAGCTGTTACAACTGGTACGGTGTTGACATATTTGAACATCTTCTAACCACTTATCCGTATTATACACGTACATTTTGTGATGTAGCGGGAAACACTGAAGGTATGGCGCTGCGCGTTTGCACAATCTGGAAACATTGCTGTGAAGTAATGTTCACTCGTGTTGCAGAATTTCCTGTATCTTGCTGAATACCGCGTTCTGCTGCATGTAGTCTCGTCATGGTTTTAGATTTGTTTATGTGGTGGCATTTCTTGTGGTTGTTTGTGGTGTGTCTTCCGCTGTACTGTTACCTTATTGGTAACTGAGTTAGTTGCTCAGTTGGGCCTAGCCAAGAATTTCCTTGTGTTTTATGGAACCCTAAGTTTCACTGACGTCTTCTGCTTTCGGAAAACAATGCTGGACCCCATTTGGTCAGGGGAGGTACTTCAAACAGAACGAACTTTTCATAAATGTGTATAACAAAATAACATTAAGGATTATATTGTTATCAGGACAGTAGAAGGGTGTAGGCATAATGCTGGTAGAAAAGGGTAAAGACACAAAAACCGGGACAAATAACAAACATTTATGATTCATGAAAGATCTGAGGCTCTCACAGCTGTGGTTATGAATAATTCTGTCTTCCGGGTTATGACACCGTGCAGTCTGTTGAAAGTCAACTGATGTTTCGGAGGAATATGTCACCTCTGAATGCTCTATCTGCTACCTACTTCACGCTAGTATCTGGCTTAGCCTACTCCTCAACCCTGAAGATGGAGGCGACACGCTCTTACGACACGTTGATTGATTTTAAACGGACTACACGGCGTTATATCCCAGAATAGAGAGGCATTTAAACTGACATATTGCCCTTTTCTAACTCTAAAGTGCAAATAAACCATTTCTCGTAAAATTTCGCGGCACATAGGTTGCGGAGCATTGATGTAGGCCCAGTTCGGATTTACCACCGCTGGAGGCCATTCAATAGCACAGGAATTTAGCAGCCGGCTTTTCATTGCGGCAGGAAGTGTCCGATCGCAAGGAACAAAGCAGTACTGAGGCAGGATTTCTCCGAGTACTTCGGCTTCCCCTGCCAATTCTCATTCCACTGACTGCTCCACACTTAATAACATCTATTATCCGGGGCTGGTATAATAGACCAGTTAATGGTCGACATACTAAATGGACTTAGTCTCACACCATCTGAAGAAATTAAAAGAACCTCTTTATTACAACCGTCACAACACAACGAATATCAAGAACAGTGCCTGGTTTCGGCTCTGCTACATGTTTCGGCTATCAATAGCCATCATCAGGCAAATACACGGTTAACATATATACACCACTGAACTGCAGTACTAGTAAAATTGGATACAATACTATTAATTATATAAAACACTTGACGTAAAAGTACAAAAATCAGATTATACACGTATAAAACAAGAATAAAATTCTTAGATTGATATTTTATATCATCGAATCAGTGGTTGGTTTTGTAATTTCATTGCGTTCTCACGGACAAATTGGAATATTCTATATTTTGCGTATATAAAACTGTATACTAAAAACAACACCTAAATAAAATAATTATACAATCTGCAGCCAGAAAATGCAGCTAATTGGAATAATCTATGGTATATAGTATACCTTAATAACGAAACTATGATTCAACAGAAAATGGAAACCAAATACGACACTCTAATAAACAACAAAATTAAAAAACTAAAAAAAGATAAAGAAATTAACACCGTAAATAATAACACAGCACAACATACGTTTTTTAAACGTACGATTAATATGACTGACATAATATTTACTGACGATGAATTGCACCTCCTGGACAAAGGACTGAAATATAACCTGCACAAGAAACCCAAAAATTGGATAAAAACGCTAACCCTTGAAGCTGGCACTGCTATAAGTGCTATACCTGAGAAAAAACAACCTTATTTGAAACAACTAGTAGCTAATAACTTATAAAAATTAATTAAGAAACAAAATAAAAAGGAAATAAAATATACATTCAAAAAGATAATGTAGAATGGAACATACTAAAGAACATCAAACAAAAATTAATTGTCACCCAATAATAGCAAAAGCCGATAAAGGCAACACGCAAGTCATTCTAAAAAAAGACGATTATATCAATAAACTTTATAACTTCATTAACAATAATAACTTTACTGAATTGTCACGCATTACCAATAAAGTACAACAAATTACAAGGAGTTACTTAAACAATCGTAAAAACATCATAAAACAGAAAGATAAGTCGAAACTTATAAACATGAACCCCGCACACCACACACACACATACAGCACTATTAAATTACATAAGCATGGGTATCCCATACAACCAATAGCCAGTTGGACTAACTGCCCTGCATATAAACACTTAAACATAATATTAACAAATACATTACAACTACCTAATGCTTTTAACGTGAAAAACACTAGCACACTAGCACACTTATTACAACACATTAAAATAAATAATAATACACAAATGTGTTCTTTCAATATCGAAAATATGTATACCAATATCCCCACAAAAGAACTTTTCAATAATGTTGAAAATATTATAGCTAAAAATCAAAACATTTCACGTGAAGCAAAAATTGAAATTAATAACCTGCTAAAGATAATGTTAGAACAAAATTATATTGAACATAATGGCAAATGGTTTAAACAAAATTAAGGTCTTGCCATGGGAGCACCAACTTCAGCAATTCTTGTCGAGCTATTTATACAATACCTCGAATAAACAACTATTATTGATATTGATATACAATTTTTATACACAAAATATAGAATATTCCAATTTGCCCGTGGGAACGCAACGAAATTACAAAATCAACGACTGATTCGATGGTATAAAACATCAATCCAAGAATTTTATTCTTGTTTTATACTATAACTTCTGTTTCATATAATCTGATTTTTTAATTTTTATGTCAAGTGTTTTATATAATTAATATTATTGTATCCAATTTTACTAGTACTGCAGTTCAGTGGTGTATATATGTTAACCGGGTATTTGCCTGATGATGGCTATTGATAGCCGAAACTAAGCACTGATCTTAATATTTGTTGTGTTGTGACGGTTGTAATTAAGAGGTTGTATACTGTAACACAACAGGATGCATGAAATTAAAATTAAAGGAAATAAATAAAAAGTGAAGTCTGAACTGAAAATCTTACCTTCCCATTTTCTCATCATGTGAATGTTGGAGTCAAGATCCCGGGTGAAACAAAAGGCGTATCCACTGTAGGTAGTTCCAATGTCTATAGCAACGACCACGAAGTGTTGGAGCTGAAGTGGCTGGGTAACTCCTGTGGTATTATTACTAACATCACGTGACACGTCCAACTCTTCTCTGCTACCAACTGTCACCATTTTCGTCACTTTTGCTTCAGCGCCGCTTTCCGATATCGCTTCAACGACTGGAACATCATCCAGAGAGGGAGTAGAGTATGACACATATGTTCTTGTTAATGGATCAAGGTTCATGTTTGAGTTATCTGCTGCAGATTCCTCTTTCAGTGGGGTGAGGTTTCTGGGTGTTCGGTGTCCGTTGCATGCCTTGCCGACTGAAGTTTCCGAAATGTTTTTCGAAGGATTTTGAACGGTGTCTTCGCAGCTGAAACTGCTGGAAAGCTTATCTCTGGGTTGTTCAGAAGCGACGAGGTCCCTGGTACCGGCCAAACTGTCGGCGTCAAGAACAGTTTCTTCGGCGATGGAGACACGATGATTCTTGAAAGCATGATTTCCACCTACGATTATTTCGTGAGCCACAGGATGGAGTTCTCTTTTGGAGTCTTCCATAACGTAGACTTCTTCAACCAAGTTGAAGGTCTCCACTTGATGTACTTCCAAAGTACTACCAGGGCGACTATTAATCAGCTTCATTGCAGGCGGAACTGCAGCAGATGAATTCTTGTCTACTGTACATTCAGGTACAGTTACTTCAAGAGATCTGCAACAAACAATTAACCTAAAAATAGATTAGATGCTTCCTAAAAAAATACTTTTTCAAAGTAAGGTAGAATAGGAAAGACATGTACATATAAGGGAGGTAACGTCTCTAAGAAAGACCGCTTCTGTGGTCTAGTGGTCAGAATCACTGCCTACAGATCCAGAGGTCCGGGTTCGATTCCCGGCGCTACCAGATTTTCTGAGAAATAGTGGGTCTGAAACGGTGTCCACTCAGCCTCGTGAGGATAATGAGGAGCTATTTCGTGGGAATAGCAGCTCCGGTCTAGAAAACCGAAATTGACGACCTTAGGGATTTATTCAAATATGAATATTTGGCCTCTTGTTCGGATGCACGGTTTTGTGTCCTTGAGAGTTCAATCTTCTTTCGTGATAAATATAATCACTAAATGGTGTTTCATTAGAGTTAAAACTCAATACATTGACACGGAAAACAGAACGTACGAGTTGTCGCCGTGAATAGAGTTGGGCCGCTAGGCGGCAGCACTTACGCAGCTACACGTCACAGAGTGTATGCACGCAGTGTCACCTGTCTTTCCATACGCGGATAAATAACGTGCTGAACATTTCGTGTAGTTTTTCCTGCAACATCCTGGTCTGGAATCGTACAAGGTTGCGTTCATTTCTTTGGACCCTGATCCCACCTGTTGAGGCTGTCGTCGTCCATGTTCTCTTCGGGGTCAGAGCCACTGCAGGCTTCAGCGAGGTCGCAGGAGCTACCATGGATGCCAGAGTCCATGGACAGATCTTTCCTATATTGACGGACGTTGCGACGTCCACACGTCGTCGCGATGCTGTTCAGGTCATCCGTGCTGCTGTCCAATGTAACCCCCGCAAGTTCTAGCCGCATCCCTGCACAGAAGTCGTAAGCATTAAAAGCACTCCATTTCAAGGCTACGAATTATTAAATAGGATCATATGTTATTTAATTACTACCTATCAGTTGCTCGGGTCATACGATAAGAATAGGCTCTGAGAATGATTATGTTCTGTGGATCGCAAAGAATAGGTCACGGCATTTTTTTTTTAAGTTTTGTGGAAAGATAACGTTAGAAATATAATGCGACGGTGGGAACTCTATTTACGTGTATGTGAGTAAGAGTAGAGTCTAGAGGTAGTCTCTTGCTTTGACGGTAATCAAAATTGGAGATCCATCAGAAGAAGGGATATTTCTCGGCCAGCTGAGCGAATGTCAGCTTCTCTAGGGAGATTTTTTTTCACGGAAATTCCTAGGGGATTTAAAGGAATCTACTAATCTAAATCCACTAATATCTACGCATGATATGCAGTCGGTGCATGGATAGAAACTCGACAATACAAACTGAGTACGTTGGCACATGACAGTATTAGCGTTTGCAATGTATTTAGGTTTCACATCCCTCAGGCCTCTGAAGTCTTCTCAACGCCAGTACTATTACGTGTATTATGCATGTTTATAACAGTTCACTGCACAAATTTCACACATCACATCATAATGATTGTTCATTTATAACCAACAGATCAAAATATCTCGAACGGTCATTGTGCTGTTTATGTCCACTTTCCTGCTCCCCCCCCCTGGCGTTACAGCCCCAATTTGGGGCTTACTAGATATTAGACATTCGGTAGGATGACTTGGGCGGGTGATCAGCTCCTCGCAGGGCCTGTACCTGTACACAAACACAGAAAAACGCGCGCGCGCACACACACAAACACTAAACATCCATGCCCTGAGTGGAATTCGAACCCACGATCCCGGCTTCCGAACGAGCGAAGACCGTGCATGCCTTGGACCGCTCGACTATCGCGACCGGCTTTTCTTACCAATAAACTTAAGAAATTATACAATTGTCATGGTTTTATTACCATACAAATTTCTAATCCCTCTTTTGATTGGCTCTACAGTTGTTCTCAACTCACTACCGCCCGGGTTTTTCAAAATCACCTAATAAAATTGAAAAATTTACATATAATGAAGAATTAATTTAACCTAATTATATAAAAGTTTTTTAAGCACTTACTTGGTCCGTTCCATACAACCTATTTTTAATTATTGACTACTTCAATGTATTATCACTTCTTCTGTTGATGAACATTTTTTTTTAATAAAGTTGAAGATAGCATCCACGAAATCAAACTGGATGTAAAGGTACGTTACGACAAGCAACTGGATTCGCTTGTTTGCAAGATCTAAAAGAAGGTTGACATATGATTCGAAGGAAGGGACGGTAGATGAGTCTTGCATGGATGAACGCTTTTAATAAGCAATGACCTGAGGCAAGGAAGCAGCAACCCGCTACTCAGGCCAGCTCGTCAGCAACGTCATGGTCTACCACGACACTAATGCCCTTCCTGCGATCAGGTAATGAGGGCGGGTATCATTTTCTGCTTTCAGTACAATGTCCTACAATTCGTAGTTTGATTATTTAATTATTTTATGTCTGTATCAATTTCTTAAACATGAATACGTATGGTATCGAATAATTTATTCTTGGGTTATGTATAATGGTGTCTTTTGACTATTTTACACATCATGAACGGTGGAATGATTTTTAAATGACGAATCGGAAATCATCACTGACAACCTCCCAGCTTTTATTAAGGTCTAAAGAAAAGAACAGAATCTCACGACATTGACAGAAGATCTCCGGGCCGGGAATAATATCCAGAACAAAACAAACAACAAACTCCGTGGCCTGTAGCCCGCAAGCGAACTATATCGACCGAGCGACCGCCGCTTGTCGGCGAAATTAGAGCCAACTTTTGCGGATAGAAGTTGTCACGTGGTCAGCCTAACGGATCCCCACGGCCGATAATCTCGGCTTTCTAGACCGGAACCGTTGAGGCTGAGTGAACCCCGTTCCAGACCCACTACTTCTCATAAAATCTGGTAGCGCCGGGAATCGAACCTGGAACCTCTGGATCTGTAGCCAGGACCACAGGGGCGGTCGATTAATACCCAGAACCTCCCGATTACAAAGCAGGGGTAGTAACGGCGACCATTTGAGCAAGTCATTCTTTCTTTGCCTGTTCCTTCTTCTGAGAAAACTTCATATCTGTTCAGCTTAAAAACACTTGAGGAAACTCATTAAAACAATTCACTTTTTATAAAAGGTATAGAGTTGCCTAGAAGCCAGTGAACCTACTATATTCTCTCGTATAAACAGGAGTGTTCAGATTGAAACCTGCCAGTCAATCTACAGAAAGGTATCACAATATTACGAGGTCTACACTGAGCATGTAGGATCTCATTTCAAACATTTTTGTAAATTCGGGAGATATTAAGAAAATTTTCTAACGTATTTTAGTATACACTTCACTAACAAGTTAACTGAGTTTCTCGATACCCTGCACTTTTTCTTTGCGCCTTCTATACTCTTCTGACACAAACACATACAGCTGGAGAACTTCAAAGAGATAGCTTTAGTGAATCAATATTTCGCGACATACTGTAGCATGCGTATATCTAATTATTCCAATTATCCTACCCATTATTACCATATTTTTTGGGCTATTTTAAAATTTATCAGCATCTAGACTCTATAGTGTCGAATGGTAGGAATGGTGCGTGGTACAGGTTCACTTTTTAAAACGAAACGGGGTTGAATCCATATTACAAGAAGTAAGTTGTGAGGGTGTGCATAGGGTTCAACTGGCTCAAGATAAAGTCCAGTGGCGGGTTCTTGTGAACGCGTGAATGAACCTTCGTGTTCCATAAAAGTTAGAAGCAGCGAGCAGGTTACTGTAGCTATAATGCTCTATACCCGTATTCGGAAGGCGCTTGTTCGAATATCGGCAGGAACATGACAATCTTAATTGATCTTTCATGGCCTTCCTCAGTCCCTCCAGACAAATTGCGGGATAATAACTCCATTTAGCGACGAGCGTTTCCTCAAAAATCATTTGCAATTTACAAATTATCAATAAATCTACCATTAGACGCTATATAGTCGGGATACAGACATCATCGTGAAACAAGCCACAAAGAAACGGGAAATTTCTATACCAGCCTCTCTCGTGGCGGTACAGATTTTCAATATAGCTTAAAAGTGCGAAATTGTTGGGTTATGTTTGTTAGTTAGAGGACCCGCTTGAAATTTGGACAGAAAGTTTTCAGGAATACAATTCCAGCTAGCCTCTCTGTGTATAGAAATATCTCAAGCAAAGAAATTATTTCCAAACCTTTCTTTTGCCGTGTGAAGTGACTGGAATTCGAACCTAGGTCCTGAACTTCATGGCCCCTCATAGAGAGGATAGTTGATGATGTCGGTAGGAATAAAGATTACTGTGAACCTAACGGAACAAAGGAATCCTAAGAAAGCGAGAGAAAGAAACGTTAATTATGAAATGACTAAATCGTCGCTAAGCAACAAAGGTGGCGTGACTGAAACAGAGACGAGCATTTGAAACCGTTACTGCAAAGTCTCCCCCCCCCCCAAAGAATGGAAATAAACTTTCACAGTTAGATGTGCTTCCTTCTCATGGCTGAGCGACCTGAAAGAAACGGAGGTTACCACTGACCTAGTGATCGGATCTCCACTTTCTAAACACCGTGTGAAACTATCGATAATATCGCTCACTGCACCTCCTCCCCCCAAACTTTCTTGGTTTTGGTTGACTGTTGCTTCATTTAAAGACGCCTTTTCAATTACATACAGGAATAAGGCAATGCTTTACAGCTACTGCTTTTTAATTTCGCTTTGCAACGTGCAATTAGGAAGGAATTAAAAATAAATACAAATAGATTAAAATTGAATGGACGTAAGCTGCAGCTGTATCGCATGGCATTAGTTTATTGGGCGAAAGCAAAATATCGTAAGTAAACCACACAGAATCTAGTAGACTCTAGCAAGGAAGCTGGAACGCGTCGGTCCAGGTTCAATACCAGGTCAGTCATGTGGACAAAGTGAACTAGCTCGCAGTAGGGTTTACTGACACACTGATGCGAATGTCATGCTGAAAGTTTGAGCTCCATAGAACTTGAAATGTCTTGATCAGCTGAAGAATTCTTAACTACTCAGTAAGATTCTGTATTACCGGATTGGTTGGTTAGTTAGTCAGTCAGCGAGACAGTGCTCAGGCTGTTAGTCGCCGGCTTCCCACCGCGGATGTTCAGGTTCGATTGCAGGTCAGGTCATGTGGTATTTGTGGTGAACAAAATGATACTAGAGCAGGTTTTCTCAGAGTAATTCTGTTTCCCCTGCCAATTCTCATTCCACCGACTACTCCACATTGATCAGCGTCTATAACCCGGAACTGGTGCACTAGGCACAATAGCGTCCGACGTACCAAGTAAAGTGGGTTTCACGGCACCAAAAGAAATTTAAAAAATTAAATAGTTGACCATGCTCGGGGAGTTCTTTTTTAATTCGCTTAGTGGGGGGTGAAGTCCAACTAGTTCCACTCGGCAAGGCGGCCACTGATTGGCCTATTGTAGCCTGCCTCGGGTGATTATAATAATGGAGAATTTGGTGGAATGAAGATTGGCAGGGGAAACCGAAGTATCGGAGAAAACCCGCCCCAGCGCCACTTTGTCCACCACAAATCCCACTTGACCGAACCCGGGCCGCCGCGGTGGGCAGGCAGCGCCTAA